ACCAGGCACACGTACACTACACATTTATACCGTGGAAACCAACCATTATACAACAGGGATCTGACTTCCAAGGGGTTTGAATGGTAACAGATATGAACAATATTACTTTGTCTCTCTAATAAGTAACACTCTCAAAGTATCTACTCTTCAAAATATTGAGATACTTTGAGAGTGTTATTTATTAGAGAGACAAGGTAATATTGTTTATATTTGACTATTCAAATCTTTTTTAATTCTTATCCTTGTTGTATGATGGTTAGTACATTGTATAAGTGGGTATTGTACGTGTGCCTGGTATGTAATAGTTCCGGAGATGGTTAATTTGTCAGATTTATTCGCAAGAAGGAACCAGTGTTTGATAGTGGAGTCTGTTCTTCACTCAATTGTGGTGCCTACCTCACATTTACAACTCAAATCAAATCAACTCAACTCAAATCAAATCAAATCAAATCAAATCAAATCAAATCAAATCAAATCAAATCAAATCAAATCAAATCAAATCAAATCAAATCAAATCAAATCAAATCAAATCAAATCAAATCAAATCAAATCAAAACTGAAGGAACACTGCATTGGAACCTGGCTCTGGATCGAGGCGACGCTCCGGATTGGACCAAGACTCTCTATTACAATAAGCTGCAAAATCCTCTTTACATATATACTTGCAAAGCGAATGAAATATTTCTTAAAAAAAAACGGACTGGACTGGGCTGGACTGGACTATCATGGACTTGACTATCTTATATTCTATTTAATTTAATTTAATTTGTATTTAATTTGTAAAAATCTTTGTACACAAAAATCATTTACTTTGAACAATAAAATTTTCCCTTGTTTTTCTTTGATATTATATTTATATTCTTGTCTCTTTGTTTTAAAAATAAAAACCTATTAATCTTTAAAAATATTATTAAAAGTAATATGGTTGGCGGTCTTTACCTTTGTCTCTTTCCTTGCTTTTGTTAAAATATATCTATAACGGAGTATAGGGATAAATGTAACTGAACTGCTAGACCAAAAAAAAAGAGTTAATGAGATATATGCAAAAAGACGTATAGCCCTTAGAGCCGCCAGGTAAGGAAAAGGCGGCATAATGGCTTGGAACTGTTTTTGGTCTGGAGTACTTTAGACATCTTCCTGATCTTGAAGGTTCTATTGATTAAAAACTGTTAATCTAAAGACTTTAGCTCTTGACAGTGAAAATTGAATTGGGAACGTAATATTATATTGGCTTACATACCATATATCATAAGAGTCGTTGTAAATATATAGCAATCGGTTCAATGGGTTTCCCAGAGTTGTCCCTATGACTATAGGAGTGCTAGATTATATAAAAGTCAGGCACAAATTAACCCTTTATTTCATTTTCCAATAGCCAATAATTTTCCCATAGCTTTTTTCTTGTTAGAAAATAATGCCATTAACTATAATTCATAAAAGTGACATGAATTATTACTATTTTTTTCTTTAATAATATAGAGTTCTAAACTCATAAGTGAAAAAATCAAACCAATTTCTTAAAGTAGTTTACAGGTTAAATTCGAAAAAGCTCATCTTTCAAAAATCTAGTCCGCAATTCTCAAATAACAACATAATGATAGTGTTTATATGTTATCTATAACCAAAAATAAAACTATAATGTGCACACAGTAAATACTATATAAGTAATATATTTCTTATAGCTACTTATTGAAATATATATAGCTCAGAGAAGAACATGTCGAGTTTATCCGGGATGCTTTTTATGGAGAATGTCAGGTAACCATTGGGATCACCAAGGACAAGTTGTTAGAGCAGTTTCTTGCTCTTAAGGGTGTAAACCTCTTTATCTCTGCACATTAATAAACACATACAGATATATATATATATATATATATGCAAAAGTTGGATTCGCACCACAAAAAAAACAAGGCCTGTCAAAGAAAAGAAAAAAAAACACATCAGATTTTATCCAAAGTATATCAAAATTTGTTAGCATACTCCAGCAACATTGAATATCTTATGAAACATGTTGTCTTTTCGTTAATAAATCTTCATCAAATACCAGCTTAATTAGTGTGAGAGGGTAATTAAATAAAACCGAATAAGCATCAAATATTTCAATTATGCTAGTCGTATTCTATCAAGGTGTCAAAGACGTTACGGCGAAAATGGTTGTAGACGATACAGACGCACAGCTATTCCTTCAATTTTCCAAGCAAATCCCAGCGAGTTTAGTTAGAGATAATTTCATTTCTTATTACTTTATTATGGACAATGTTTCCATACATACAAGCAAGCTTTTAAGCTATTACTTACCCACCCACACAAAGCACATATGTAATACCCTTTTTCTATATGGCTAATTCTTAAACCCCCTTTGGGAACTGTTTTATAAAGAAAAGATTTGGTTAAAAGAAAACCAGGTCTCACTACTGATCAAGCTGTATAATGTATTAGTATTTGTAGTAAGCAATCTTTTTGAGACAATTTGTGAAGGTTAGGCTGATAAAAACATCAATTTTTTTTAAAAATGTAAGCCTTTTCAAATTAAACCTGTGTCTACCTCAGAAAATTGATTTGGTTTTCTCATTTTTGAATGCAAAACTCTGTATAATAAGGATTCCGTTGACGATTTCTGGATCTTTTGCTCCGTGCTCAAATACCCAAATCTAATCGGT